CACTTACTTAAGGAATTTATTTTGATAACTGTCCCTTTTCTTCCCAAGATGGTTTGTTTTTCCTTTTCTACTAGATTACACCTTTAACATTTAGACATAATTTCCTCTTCTTTAAATAAATAAATACTCAAATATTTCCAAATTTACTGCCCTATTATTTTACACACTTTTGCAACAAAAGTCCTTGAAAAATTTATCTATGCTCATTATATGCAATTTTTCCCTTTTCTTTCTTTCTTAAACCCATCCTAATCAGGGCTTTATCCCACCATTCCATTGAAACTGCTCATCACTGGCCTCTGTGTTGCTAACTCCTATGCTCAACTATCAGTTCTCACCTTACTGCATCCATCAATATTTAACACAATTGATTATTCCATTCTGCCTTGAAACACATTCTTCACTCAGCTTCAAGGATACCAGATTCTCTTTCTTGTCTTCTCCCTCATTGTTTACTCCTTCTCAATCTGTTCTACTGATTCCTCTTCTTCTCCTAGACACCTTAACTTAAAGTGCCCCAGAGTTCAATCTTTGTTCCTCTTTTCTTCTCCATGCTCTCTTACTTGGTGTCCTTCTACAGTCAAATGGTTTTAAATACCATCTGATGTCTACAACTCTCAAATTTATATCTCTGGTCCCAATCATGCTCCTATACTCCAGGCCCAAATACCAAAATTTCTACTGACTTGTCCTTTTGGAAAGACAAACTGAAGTCTTGATCTTCTTCATCAAAGCTGTTCTACACGTAGTCTTTCCACCTCACTCAAAACCAATTCCACCCCTCTAGTGCTCTGGCCAAAAACCTTAAAGCCATCCCTGAATCCTCTTTCTCATACCCCACATCGACAGGCAATCTCACGGACTCAACTTTCAAAATATGTCCAGGAGCTAAACAGTTCTGGCCATTTCCATCCTTACTCAAACCATCATTTTCTATCCCTTAGGCTACTGCAATAGTCTCATTCTTCCATCCTTGCTCTCTTATGTATATTCTTTCCACTTAAATCAAAAGTCAGAATAATGTCATTCCTCTGTTATTATCCCACCACCACAATGGTTCCCTATTTCACTCACAGAAAGGCCATAATCCAAGGACCCAAGATCTGTTCCCCATTAGTTTTCTAACTTCTTTTCCCTGCTCTCATCTTTCCCTTCACTCAGGGCTCCTTGATATACCTTGAACAGTCTAGACATACTCCTGTCTTATAGTCTTTGCAATGGATACACCCTCTGGCTGGAATATTCTTTCCCCAGAAATTGACGTGACTTACCAGCTCCCCGTTTCGAATCTTTGTTCAAATGTCACCCTTTCAGTGATGTTTATCCTGACTTGAATTTAAAATTGGATCCCAACCTCTGACCCTCGAGACCCCCAATCCTCTACCCCTACTCTGTTTTTACTCTTTGGTATTTATCATCCAACATAACATATAATTTACTTATCAACTGCTACTTATCACAGCATGTAACCTCTAAGTGAGGAGTTCTTTTATTAGTTTTATACACTGCTGTATCCCAAGCATCTAGCAAAGTGTTTGACACATATTAGGTGCTCAGTAAATATTGCTTGAATGAATAAATGAAAAATGCTTAACTATAGTGCTATGATTTAAAAGTCCCCTCCAAAACTCATGTTGAAATTGAATTGCCATTGTGATGGTATTAAGAGGTAGGACCTTTAAGAGGTCATTATGTCATGAGGACTCCACTTTCATAAATGGATTAATGCCATTATCATGGAAGTGGGTTCCTAATAAAAGGATGAAGTTCAGGCCCCATCCTCTCTCTGCCATGTTTGCTTGACTTTCTGCATTCCACCTTCAGCCATGGGGTGATGCAGCACAAAGGCCGTCAACAGATGCTGGTGCCATGCTCTTGGGCTTCCCAGCCTCCAGAACCATAAGCCAAATAAACTTATTTTTTTAATAAATTACCTAATCTGTGGTATTCTGTTATAGCAGCAGAAAACAGTTAAGACACATAGACAATACAGAATGACTGTGCAATACTTAAAATTTATCATTTTGTTCCTTTGTATTTTGGCCAAAATTAGACCTAAGGTGAAAAAAGACAACATTAGAAGGATGACCTGTCCTGACAGAGATGATTATATTATTGCCTCCACAAAGTTTTTTAGATTTTTGTAAATTAATATATGGGTGCCTTAGTCCATTTTGTGCTGCAATAACAGAATACCTGAGACTGGATAACTTATAAAGTACAAAAATTTATTTCTCACAGTTCTTCAGGCTGGGAAGTCCAAGATCAGGTGGTGACAGTTCTGGCATCTAGTAAGGGCCCAGTCTCGCCTTCCAAGATGGTGCCTTGACAGCTGCATCTTTCAAAGTGGAGGAACACTTCATCTTTACACAGTGGAATGGCAAAGAGGCAAAAGGGGCCAAATTCACCATTTCATAATGGCATTAATCCCACCCATAAGGACTGAGTTCTCATAGTCTAATCACCTCTCAAAGGACCTACATCTCTTAATACTGTTAAAATGGCAATTAAATTTCAGCATGAGTTTTGGAGGGGATAAACAGCCAAAACATGGCAATGGGCTTTAACTCAGCAATTTATAAAGCCAATACATCTAAGAATCTGACTATACAACCCTAACCCTGCTTACATATCTGAATCACCTGAAATTTTTATAAGAACATACAATCCACAGCCCATCTCTATGACACAGTTCCTTATAACACTCTTCCACAGAAACATTCACTACTGAAGAGTCAATGCTTTAGTTAACACTGCCACTAAGATCATGTACAATAACTAACTGTCTCTCCTACTCTTAAATAATCTTTAGGACAAGTTTTCACAATTTTCCATATCATAGTTTAATTTTGAGTTCTTCCAATTTTTCCAATATTCAACCAAATTCCTTTTGTTGAAATTTTACACCATTTATAAAGATGGAATTTATAAAGAGGAAATACCAATGAAACTTCTTACATTAAATCCAGGCTCTTCTTGTAATGTTATTCATAAAGCAATCCGTAAACAGTCATTTGGGAAGGGAGGAGACCCATTTAAAGCTTTAATATTTTTATTATTTTCAAATAAACTGAAAAGTAATATTCTAATTGTTAATTGAAAAGACTGAATTATGCAAAGATTTCACTGATATACATGGTAGTATTATGTTTTAAGAACTGTACGTTGCAAATATTTCTACTTGCTTTTACTCTATAAAACATACTGCAAAACTTTGTTAATTGGTCTCATTTCGGCAGATACCATGATTGATAAAAATCGGTTTATTACTTTAAACTACATATATTTTAATATTCCTTTGTAAAACTCCTTAAAGACTTACTAAAGGTCTGCTTTAATTAATAGATAAAATATGTTTATAATTATTATTTCCACTACTTAAAATAAGTTGAATAAAATGAAATATGCAGCTTTCCTCTGTAAAAATTTACAAGGTATTATCACCACGTAAAAAATGGGTGTAAGACAGAGTTTGAAGGCGACAGAAAGCAGTTTGTTCTCTTAAACTGTATTATACATTCTCTCTGAAACATTATTTAATTCATTTGCTAAATAAAGCTTTTCTTTACAATTATGAAAGATTAAACCCAAAATGATGACAAACTCTTAATAAAATAAGAATTAATTAACTATTATATTTTAAATTTGAAAGACAGATTTTGAACCATACTTATCAAGCAGGGGTTTCTATCATCTAGCAACTTAAATAACTATCTTTTATTTTATCATAATAATGCCAAAATGGATTATCTGCCCTAAAATTAGATAACTAGTTTTAACCAATATGCCACTAAGTCAAGCCATTAAATAACCAATTCCACACCCACATGGAGACAGGGGAATATTATAACCACACTCGGTACAAAGATTTACTAGCTAAGGTTTTCAAAAGCCAACCAAAAAAACCCCCAAAACTTCAGAAGTTCCTCTGAAAGAATGTATATTCCAGATAGTTATCAAGAGTCATAAAGCAAGAGAGGGACTCTAATAGGGCCCTTGGAACATATGCTAAGATCCTTATAGGTAGGACAGTAAAAGAGAGCAAGGAATCATAATTCACAATTCACAAAGTGATGTGTAGATGAGTATGGCTCAATTAGTAACAAAAATAGCAATAGCCACAATAGTTTAATTACTTCATATTCATTTCTACATTTATCACTTTCAGATACAGCCTTTTTCCCCTATGGAGACGTTTAATCCATTTGACAATCAAATCATACTATTTAGAGCCATATGAACTAAAAATTACTGAAATATCAGCTACAGCATCATAAATTATAATAGTTCCATCTATGGACTACATTCAGCTACCCACAGAAAAACCCAAAACTATAGCTGAGACTTTTTCAACCTTGGCAGGATTGACATTTGGGGCTGGATAATTTTTTGTCAGGAGTGTGAAGAAGGGGCTGTTCTGTGCATTGTAGGATGTTTAGGAGCATCACGGGCCTCTACGCTCTAAATATCGAAAATACTCATCAGTTGTGACAACCAAAAAATGTCTAAAGGCACTGCCAAATGTCCTCTGGAGGGCAAAATTTCCCATTGGTCAGAACCACCAACAGATGATAGACAGATACATATATACAAAACATACATTACATACAATACATACATAGATGCATGGATATATAGATAAGAATGAAGGAAGGAAGGTAGGAAGGGAGGGAGGGAGAGAGGGAGGGAGGGAAGGAGGGAGTGAGGGAGGGACAAAAGAAGGAAAGGAAAGAAAGAATTTATACCAGGAATTCTTAAAAAGTTAATAAAACCATTTGAAATGAGTTGAATTTCAAGTTGCTGAATTTGAATGTATTTATTGTAGTTTAAGGATCATATTTATGAGCAAAAAAACTTTTTAAAACTAAATCGGTATTTTTTTACTGTGAAAACAATAAACACACTAGCACTCTGAGGTAAATAAGATTCTACTGTTCTTAAGAAGAAAAAATAATAGCTTTCTCCTTACTTCTTACTTCTATCTTAAGAAAACACCCTACCTTCCTGCTGTCTCCCAGGAATAAAAACAATTGCAGTCTTTCTTTTCAGTTTTGAAGGCAAGAGAAGAGCTTTTTCCTCTGACTCTACAGGTGGTTCCTGAAAGTGCTCTCCAGGTGACCTGAGGTGACTGACAAGTCTATTTGCATTTACAAACAAGTTTAATAGGACCTGCATATTAACAAGAGTAATAATTTGTTATAGTAAATTGGAATTACTTTTTATAGTCACTAATTACCTAGACACTACTCTTTCATGTTTTTCACTAGATTACTCTTTAGCTTACCATAGATGTAACTGATCGTGCATCTTCTTCATAATTTATAACTGGAGGTGGCTCTTTCCCATCATTTTCTTGTACTTTTTGCTCTAGTAATTCTTTCTGTGCTGCAAACTTTGCCTCAGTGCATCTCAGCTGCTGGATTGACTGTTTCAGCTCTTCAAGTGTCTGTTTTTGGCTTAGCAGAAGCACAATACTAAAAGAGAATAAATTAAATATAAATTATTTCAACTTCTTTAAGAAGTAAAGACATTATACTTTTGTTTTCCTTCATTTTCCTCTTTGAGTCCACCAGAATCGTAAGAAATATGAAACTAAATAGATTTTAAGTCGTCACAATATTTATTAAATGTTAGCATTAGCAAAATGGAAAAAATGTTTAGAAGCAAAAGCCAAATTCAAGACACTGTCAAGTATATTGTAATCTATGGCATTCCTTTTATTTTACAGCTAAACCATATACCTCACAGAGTAGAGACACTTAGGTCCAGAAGTTTAGGACCTAAAATGAATTAAAATGAAGGAGAATCTTAAATTTATTTCAAATCTCAAAGGCAATATACCTAGTGTCGGATCTGGGCCTAAGGTAAAATAAATCCAATCAAGGTGACATCATGGGCACCAAGCTTTTGTGTATGTCGTGACTGGTATGTGTTTAGAGTCAGGGAAAGCTGTTATGACAAGGACTGGGGGCTGAGTTTTGATTAAGGGAGTGAGCAAAATGTAAGTCCTCAGATCTTTCCAATATCACCATCTCTCCTTAATGAACTACACAGGCAACATGTTGCTTTATTGTTACTTTTACCCTTTGGAGGCTGCCTTCAATGGGAATTTCAAACTAATTCACCCACATTAAACCCACAGGAAAACAGGTAGTGGTGATGGGAACAACTCTGGAAACACCCCCAATATACAAGTATAGTATAATAATTAGATAACACTTCCAAAAGTTCACGGAAAAATAGAATTAAAAGATAATATGAATCTTTCCATGGACTTTTTGAAATACCCTCATTTCTTAAAAAACTGAGCCATGCACTGCTAAATTATTAATATTTAAGAGACAATAGATTATAAATTAGTAAGCTTAAGAACTGTAGAATAAGGTCAGAAAATGTTATTTTCTTAAATTGAAACTTGTACAGGGGCCGGCCCGGTGGCGCACTGCTACAGTGCGCCGCTTGGGAAGTGCGGCGGCGCTCCCGCTGAGGGTTCGGATCCCACATACAGACCGGCCGCTCACTGGCTGAGTGAGGTGCGGACGCAACACCGAGGGTTGCGATCCCGTTGCCGGTCCCGGTCCAGTACGGGTGCGACACTGAGGGTTGCGATCCGTTGCAGGTCACGAAAAAAGACAAAAAGAAAAAAAAAAAAAAAGAAACTTGTACAGATTAACATAAACTGAATAAGTATTCATAAGCAGAAGTTACCCACACTAAGATTTATTTGTAAATATGCTGATCAATATTTTGAAAACCAAGTTCCAATCTAATTAAGGAGGTTGCAACCTCAGTGACTGCTATAAAGAAAGCTGTAATCTCCTCAATTACACTATTGAAATGAGTTTGAGGCAAAAATACAGAAAACAGAGTGAAGTTTGGGAAAAGCAGAACTAATGAGTAAGAATATTTGTGAGAGACCTAGCAATGTCCAGAAGACAGACTACTCGAACAAGTAAAATTCAATAAATAGTAATTATCATTTGTATCACTATCATTCAACAATCTGTAACATATGTTCTAAATCCACACAGATTTCCTGTTAAATTCATGCTGGTTTGCTTAATAGTTGGTACTCCTTTATTGTAATAAATTGGGACTTTTTCTCTGTGAATCTCTTGACAGAAATTGATTTTTAAAACATCACTTTTGTGAACATAAATTTATAATAACCAGGTCTTAGAAAATTTTACACCCACAATGTACTTAAAACTTCCTTAAGCTTTCTTTGCATTTCCTAGCTACCAAAAAAAAAAAAAAAATCACAAGGATAATAGTATAAGAAACAATTTAAAATATACAAGGTAAGATAGTAAAAGTACATTCTCGGGTACATCTGGAAGATAGTCAAAAGAAGGTGCATGATTTCAAAAATGTGGACAAAATCAACAGGAAAAATAAAACTCTAAAATCATTACTGTTACTAGTGGTCTTTTGCAAACAAATTTCATAAAGACTAATGAAAAAAATGCAAAAAATTAAATTCAAATTAAAAGAATGAAAATGAGCTTTGTAAAAAATGAAATTTAATATGACAAATCAGGCACAACAGCTGCAAAAATATTAAATATTAACTGAATATCCAAGTGTAATTCAAAAAACCTCTATTTATGGAAGTAAATAACATACATTTTACTCTATCTTAAACTTCATAGTAAGCTGAATAATGGCCCCCAAAAGATGACATCTTTACTTACAGAATCTAAAGAGTTTGTTACTTTACATAGCAAAAGGACTTTTCAGATATGATTAAGTTAAGGATGTTACAATGGGGAGATTTTATCCAGGTGAATCCAAATATTCATAAGCATCCTTATAAGAGGGAGGCAAGAGGCACAATGTCAGACAATGCGAACAGCAGCAGAAAAGGAAAAGGAACGAGGACAGCCTCTAGAAGTTGGAAAAAGCAAAGAAGCAAATTCTCTCCTAGAGCTTCCAGAAGAAATCAGCCCTATCAACACCTTGGTTTTAGGCTGTAACACATATTTCTGATTTCTAACCTCCAGAACTGTGAGAGAATAAATTTGTGCTGTTTTAAGCTCCAATGTCTGCAGCAATTTGTTTACAGCAACAAGAAGAAATTACAAACTCTAATAGAAATCATATCATTTTCATTTCATGTAAAAGGAAAGGATTAAACCATTATAGAAAATTGAAATTAAAAAAAATTTCAAGTCATATATATTATACAGTTTAGAGAAAGAACTCTATTTTTTAAAATGACTTCTCATGGCGTTTTTTTTTGTCTTTTTCCGTGTCCGGCAATGGATCGCAACCCTCAGTGTTGCCCCCGTACCGGACCGGGACCGGCAACGGGATCGCAACCCTCGGCGTTGCTCCCGCGCCTTGCTCAGCCAGTGAGCGGGAACCGGTCTGTATGTGGGATCCGAACCCTCGGCGGGAGCGCTGCCGCACTTCCCAAGCGGCGCACTACAGCAGGGTGCCACCGGGCCGGCCCCTTCATGGCGTTTTGAATCTCCATGTATTACTATTATTTCACCTTTATTTTACCCTGGATAAAAAATGATCCTAAAACATTTATGTAATTAGAAGAATCACTAATACTGTGATTTTCTAACTAGAGCAATCCATTTTCTCTCACCCTTATTAGGAACCTGAATAGCCCCTTACCAGTTTTAATTACTTTAATATTTGCTTATGGAATCCTCCACTGAAAGTTGGAACTCTTCCTTTAAAAGATGACTATTCATTGATATTTATGCTCTTAGGAATATCCGAGATCCAGCTCTTGCAACCACTGTATTATATCATATTGGCAGTTACTTAGACACTCTGAGTCATTATCCTAACAGCAAGAATGACATTACAGTGTAAATTTCCTGGCTTTGAATTTAGTGGTTTTTAAAGACAATGAAACTTGCAAGACAGGTATGACTCTAGTCCTCTTTTCTAGTCATTGATTTCATGTCTGATCATGAAAAAATTAGCTTCTGAGCAAAAATTAGCTTCTTCCAATTAATCCCATTGTAGCCTTATGTATAATGACATAATTTCACATATATTAACATTTTGCTTTTGCTCAATAATTATTACAAAAAAGTACTGCTGTTATCAATATATAACATACTGCTATGGGTTGTCAGTAATTACCACAAAAAAGTACTGCTGTCATCAATGTATAACATACTGCTATGAGTTGTCAGTAATTACCACAAAAAAGTACTGCTGTCATCAATATATAACATACTGCTATGGGTTAAATGTGTCCCCAAAAGTTCATGTATTGGAAGCTTAATCTCCATTGTAACAGTGTTAAGAGGGTGGGAAATCCTATTATGGTAATTGAAAGGTAGTGCCTTTAAGAGGTGATTAGATTGTGAGGATCACACCCTCGTTAATGGATTAATCCATTGATGGTTTAATGGGCAGTCATGGGCATGGTTCTGATGGCTTTATAAGGAGAGAAAGTGAGTGGGTTAGCTCTCTCTTGCTCAGCCTATTCTCACCATGTGACGCCCTGGTGTAGAGTCACCACCAAGAAAATGGCCTCACCAGATGTGTTCCCTGGACTTTGGACTTCCCAGCCTCTGAAACTGTAAGAAATAAATTTCATTTTCTTTTAAATTACGCAGTTTCAGGTATTCTGTTATAAGCAACAGAAATGGACTGATACACATACTATACAATTATTTTATATGTTTATAACACCATTGAGCAAACAAGCTATGTATATTTCAATAAGTAGAAAACTATAGTAAGTGCATAATTATACAATATAAGATGCATAGGAAGCCATAAATAAATTTAAAACATGGAAGGGATCAGGACCTTTGCATATGCTACTTCCTATCTCTGAACACTCTTTCCACACACTCTCCATGTACAGGCCACCTTCTATCCTTCAGGTTTCAGCAAAAATGTCGTCTCCTAGGAAACCCCCAACCATCTATGTTAAGTATGTGCTCCTCTGTTATTCTTCTATCTGCATCCTTGTTTCATTCTTTCATAGCAATTATCACAACTAGTAGCTTTTTAGAACTTCATATTGGTCTCTTCCACAAAAGTATAAGCTTCATGAGATATGTGACCATGTATGTCTTACCTCTCATTGTATTCACAGCAACTAGTAGATGTGCAATCAATTGTTACTGAATGAATTCCATATCTATATAGCATATTTCTTGTAGTACACATACATAACCCACACCCAAAAGTTCTAAGCCAAAAAAAAAAAAAAAGTCCCAGAATTTGAAGACTAGAACACTATTATAGATTGTTTAAGTCTTACCTTTACCAGAAACTAGATGTGACATTTTGCAAGTCTCTTAAAATTTCTGGCCCTCAGAGGTCACATAATTAGAAAGTCAGGGAGGTTAAATCAAATGATCTCTTAAAATTCTGCATGGCTCTAAGAGTTATGATTTTATAATACATAAAGTATTTTTAAGTACTAAGTGATAATGGTATAAAACAGGTTAAAACAATACAAAATTAAATAATTACTTACTTTTTTGGAAATCAAACCAAGCATTCAAACCAATAGTAATATTATAGCTCTATATGCCATTGAGTCATAAATGACATATGCTTGGCATATTTCCCCATAAACTATTTTCTAACCCAGTGCTCAAGGATCATAAATCAGGAAAAGATTGATATTATTTCCATTTGAATAAATGTGCTTTAGAAGTAATGAGTAAAGGTATGTATACTAGAGTGACACTTTGTGCTGTACTAAAATTATACCATTTCAAGTGGCTGGTTTTACTCTTTTCATTCTTTTTTTTCTTTTTTATAAAATACTGCAATAGATACATTTCAACCACGACCTGCATTACTTATATAAGCTTGAATTCTTCTCTTCTTAGTGTAAATTTGACATCACATAAAAGCTATTCCTTAGGTTTATTTTTACTCCATATTACTCAATTACAGAAATCAAAGCTACCAAATGATTTCTCATATAATTTATTTTTTCACTGTTATTAGAAGATGATTTAGAGACATTTAAATTCAAATTTAAAGGATTTGATTTTAGTCCCTTACATTTTGATAGGACAAATAATGGTATTTTTATTGAGTAAAAATTCAGTATAATTTCATTGATTTAGAAATAATTTAAGAATGTGACAAAGAATATTTTTAGTATCTGTTAAAAACTGTAGTTTTATTGATTTGATTACTTTGAAGAAACAGTATATGAAGCTAACAGTGTTGCAAAGTAAAGATAATTCTATTTGTAAAACTAGATAAAAATTGCCTTTAATTATATATATGTATTTTAATATGTATGTGTAGATGTATACACATGTACACCAAAAGAGGAAATGCTCAAGAAATATTAAGAAATTGAAATGCAAACATTTCACCTTAGAATCCCTTTCAGACTATTTGTTTAGCAAAATATTTTAACACATAATTGAAAGGCAAACTTTAACCCTACCAATGACTGAATTGATGAGATGTAGCAATGACTTTTTAGTTATCTAAATATACCTAACATTCTCAAGATTATGCACTGAAGCTAACAAAAAAAACTCCATGGTAACAAAAGGCCAACAGAAACAGGTCTCATTCCCTGAAAAGTTTGACATTACTTACCCCTTCTAACTTATTTTCCTAAGAATGCTATTAAAATCATAGGATCAAGCAAATTCTATGATTAAAAAGACAGTAGCTTTGGAGTCAGGAACTTACACGTTTTCTACAACTTACTAGGTATATGGTTATAGGTAAGTTATCTAAACTCTCAAAGCCCTAAAGGTAAAATACAAGCCATTATACAGACAGCATAGCAAGATAACATTCAGTGAGTTAATACATATATCCAGCATAATATATGGCACAGAGTAATAACTCAAGACATGCTACTTTCCATACACTCATCACCCTCTAAGCCCTCTCTCTTTTACTCCCATTCTCATCTCCTGAAAAACATAAATAGGTAGAAGAATGCAGATTTTACTCGTTGTGTAGATGAAAAGAGAGGCAAATATTCAAATTTTTTTTTTTAAGTAAAAAAAAAAATCAAAGACTCTCCTAACTTCTAAGTTAAGGGAACCCTTAAAGATTACCTCTTCCAACAAATATAGTCAGACATCTTGGTGACAGAGTCAGCATATTCTATTGTCTTCCTTTATCTCCACTAAATTTTAAAATAGAAGTCATTTACAATGTATGCATTTGCAAAACTATAAAAAGTAGAGCTACTTGGTCATTTGTTAACATATGAAGAGATTCATTTGCAAATAGAGAAAAGCACAAGATAATTCTTTTGATTTTATATGTAAAATGGTTGATAAGTTTTATTTTTATTGTTCAAAAAGAATCTTCTGTTGATACAATACTGAAAATTTCCAGATTTATTAAAGGAATGCACAGAGTAACTCAAATTTTCCTGTTTTCATCTTTAAAAGGATTCTAATATGATAAAAGACTAATTCTAATATGATATTGCAATGAACTGAATGTTGTATGCTACCAATATTCATATGCTGAAATTCTAACTCCCAATGTGATGGTATTAGGAGATGGAGACTTTGGGAGGTAATTAGGGCATGAGGGCAGAGCCCTCAAGAATGGGATTAGTGCCCTTATGAAAGGGATCCCAGAGAGCTCATATCTTCTTTCTGCTGTGTGAGACTACAAGAAGACAGAAGTCTACAGTCCAGAAGAGGACCCTCATAAGAACCCAACCATGCTAGCACCAGATCTAGGACTTAAAACTTCCAGAACTGTGATAAGTAAATTTCTGTTCTTTGTAAGCCACTCAATCTATGACACTTTGTTATAGCAGACTAAGACAGCACTTTAATACCAAATTGTAATAAGAGCTACAGTATAAATGGGAGAAACAGGACTCCTAATATTCTGTTTGGTATAATAGGATAGACGGTGTTGCCATTCACTGAAATAAGGAACACAAACAACTAGATCAGGTTGGGTTGGGCTGAATTGTATTGAGGAAACTTTTAATTCAGCCTTAGACATGGGAAATTTAGGGTACTTCTAAGACATCCAAAGAGGTACGTCAAAGAGCCAATTGATTACATGGCCACAGAGTTCAAAAAAGAAATCCAAATGACAGTAATAAATGGGTCATCTTCAGGAGGTCACCTAGAAAGAGAGTTCAGAGAGGGGAGTGACAAAGCCTAGGGCCGTGCCTTCAGTAATTCCAAAATGGACAGTCTGAGTGGAAGAATACGTTTGCAAAGGAGGGGCCAGAAAGAGAGGTGTATGATCTGGCATCGTAGATTCCAAACGCCAAGGGAAAAGAAGGAACATGAAGTCAGCAAAGTCAGATGACATCACGAAGTCAAGTAAGGCAGTTGCTAAATTTACCTAGCAGTGCAGAGGTCACTGATGTTCATTTTTTCTAGTGATGGGGCAAAATATGTGTGTTGAAAACTAAGTGGGAATTGAGGAAATGAGGGAGCATAATCATTCTTAGAACAAGTTTAAACTAAAAACAAGTTAGAGTAGTTGGGGTTAAATATGGAGATTAAAGAAGGATTACTTGGGGGTGGGTGGAAAAATGAAGATTGTTTATAGGAGACAAGACTTAAGTATATTTGAAAAGTAAATACAAGGACCCAATTGAGAAGAAAAGGTGAACATAATATATAAAACAATAAAAAATTTAGGGGAAAGCAAGAGATGATAGGATATAAAAAGGCACAAGAAATGGACTTAGGACAAGGAATAATTCCTCTATTTAAGTAAGGAAAGAGAATAAGTACAAATGTGGATGGGTTTGGCTGTCTAGTCCCAGAAAATAAGGGAGTTGTCACGTAATACTTCTAATTTTCTCTAAGATGTAGAAGTCCATATGCTGACTATGACGAGGGAGATAAGGGGATCAGAGATTTGAAAGAAATGGAGAATATCTGAAAAGGTGTGCAGAAAGTAAGAGCAAGTACAGACCAGAGAAATGTAGGTGTGGGGAAGTAAAGACAGTTTTTAAGGAAGTATTTTTCAGAAGATCGCTCAAACTGTTAAAACATTGAAAAATATAATCAGTACACTATATTTACAACAACACAGAATCATTTTTCCAGAGCGCACTATATTTGCAAAAACACAATCACTTTTCTAGGGTACTAGATATTAACTCAACTATACTCATATAAGATTTTACACTTAAAATAAAAATTTGGGTTTCCAGAAATGTTGTGCCCACAAAACATTTAACTGAAGTATTTCTGTAAAATTACATCAATTAAACTTTCTTCTTTCAAATTGTTTTTCTTTTACTCACTCAGACTTCTTTTCACAGCTCTTAGAAGATTCTTCAATTCTCTTCTCTAGCTCCAGGACAGCCTCCTCCTTGTTTAAAAGCATCTGCTGTGTCTGTATAAGTTCCTCTGCTAAAGTTTTCAACCTAGAATAAACAGTTTCCTCATTATCAAACAACATGTTAATTGTGTTCACTTCACACATGCCAAAAAAGCACTCATACATCTAAGGTTGTGATGTCCAAAACAGTAGCCACACATAATTTAACTTAAATTTCAGTTCCTCTGTTTCATTAGGCACATTTCAAGTGCTAAACAGAAACATTTGGCTAGTGGCTGCCTTATCGGACAGCACAAAAAGGAACATTTCAATAATCGCAGTAAATGTTCTTGGGCAGTGCTGGTCTAGAGAGTCTTCCTTCATCAAACAGAAAAACAGAAACAGAAGGCAGGGAAAGTAAAAAGAAGAGAGCACTAAAGTAAATACATACCCGTCATGTCCCAGGAAGCGTATAGTGAAAAGACTATGCTTTCTGCTTTAAGACAAACATGTACTCACATTCTGGCTTTGCCACTTTCTGTTGAGACCTTAGCCAAATTCTTAAACTCACTGAATTTACTTTCTCCTTTGTAATTTCAGTAAAGTAACACCTGCCTCATAGCACTGTTTTAAGGATCAAATGAACTAAGGTATATAAAATGACTGGTAGACATTGAATAAATTATAACTATCTGTTATCTCATTTAATCTTTACAACAATCTCATTCGATAGATACTACTATATTTACTTTAAGGAAAAGAAAGTGAGGGTCAGTTGTATAGCAGTTTAAATTAATGATAAGCTATTTCTACTTTCACATATTGTAATAATGCTTTAGAAGTATTTTCTAGATACATTTGGAGATAATTTGGTACACAAAATTAATATGTACTCACAGACCAAATAATTTCTGGTTGCACAAAATGCATTCAGCCCTTAATGGAAATATTTCTATCACAAAACACAGACAGCTATCACATCACATTAAAATTTTTATTTCCAGCCTTTTACAGCAAGCCATGAAAGCCAAAACATACAAAAGAAAATACTAAATAATCTAAATCTATAAAAATTTAAATTTATTTGAAGTTAAAAAGATCATGAAGTCAAAAGTAAAGTCAAACTGTGAAGAAATATTTGCAGTAAAAATTATTAGCAAAAGTCCGCTGGCCGGCTCCGTGGCTCGCTCGGGAGAGTGCGGCGCTGGTGGCACCGAGGCTGCGGGTTCGGATCCTATATAGGGATGGCCGGTACACTCACTGGCTGAGCGTGGTGCGGACGACACCGAGCCAAGAGTTATGATCCCTTTACCGGTCAAAAGAAAAAAAAAAAAGGTCGGTTTTATGGGCCGAGGATGCGATGCTAAGCAGTGCTGACTGTTTGGGATATTTGGTATTTCATTCATAATTGGATAGACAGATTGATAGATGAAGTTTTGATCCTCTTGTCTCAAAATAGTTCTTAGAAAAGTCACAATTCAGAATATTTTGTATTATATTGCAATATCTCATACAAAAAATCTGAATTGATATTATTTTTAGTTGAGGATACACATTTAAGTAATCAGATTTTAGGCAGGATTTCTAAAGCATATTTAGCCTACTTTTTCTTCATTAACTCCTTTCCTGATATTATTGTAAGAAGCTACCCTCAGACTGAGCTAGAAAAAAAGGGGGAAAAAAAAAAAAAAAGTCCTCTTAATGCAGAAAAACTCTTGGAAAAAAGACAACCTAATATTCAAGTGGACAAAGAACACAATTGGAAGTTCATCAAGCAAAAAACTGAATGATCAATAACAACATGGAATTACTTACAACTTGACCCAAAATTAAATACTGCAGATTAAATACACAATTTTTTCAAAGAATAAGAAAGATTAATAATATCCAGTATTCACAATATTATAAAAAAAAGAGACACATATATTGTTAATGTGACAAAGTTGGCACAAATTTTTCAGAGGTCAAGTAGTAATTATCTCTCAGATTTTAAATTAGAATATTCGTTGAACATCTAAAAACCTGTCTTACTGAAACACTTGAACAATGTGCACAAAACGTGTCCATACAAAGATATTTGTTGCAACATGGTTTACAAAGCAAAAAACAGAAAATATTTAAATGTCCATCAACAGGGGAATGGATGAATACATTTTAAATTTTAATTCATTTATGATACAGAATAGCATACGGCCATTAAAAAAGAATGAGGTATGCACATACAAGGTTCTTCCAAGATATAATTTTAAATTAAAAGACAAGATCTATAAGAATTCATATAGCACTGTTCCAATTATATTAAAATACATGTACGGCTATATATGCTATGGACTGAATTGTGCCCCTGAGAATTCATCTGGTAAAGCCCTAACCTCTAATATGATGGTATTTGAAGATGAAGCCTTTGGGAGGTAACTAGGATTAGAAAAAGATATGAGGGTGGAGCCCTCATGATGGGTTTAGTGCCCTTATAAGAAGAAACACCAACTCACTCTCACTCTCTTCTCTCCCCTCACTTACACAGAGGTCATGAGAGTACATAGCCAGAAGGCAGGCATCTACAAATCAAGAAAAGAGCCCTCACCAGAAACTAAGTTGGTTGGCACCATGATCTTGGACTTCCCAATCTCTATAACTCTGAGAAATAAATTCCTGTTGTTTTTAAGCCACCCAGTCTATGGTCATTTTTATGGCAGTCCAAGCAGACCAAAACAATATGTGCATATCAATATGTTTATGTTTGTATGTGAATGCATAGGAAAAAAAAATGACTATAAACCAAACTTTTATCAACACTGTGGGGAGTATGGGATTGAGTAGGAGATGATTAAAGGCCAAAAAACTTTTTGTTTACTGTATGTACATATACATTGTTTAAAACTTCCATAACAAAAATGGATTTAATTTTTTTAAATTACTAACTAATAGTTAATAGAGATGAAAGAGGCAGAAAAACTGAGACATGATCAGAACTCAAAATATACCAGTCCAAATTATTTTATTTTTGCTTGGAGTTCAACAACATAATAAATCTCAATAGGTTTCTGAGGCCATTACTATATGATAGCAAAACAAAATCAATAATGCTTATAATAATGATCCAGAGTAATCAGGGAAAAGTCAAATTAAGATTATTTTCTTTAGGAATATGCACCTATGTATAAGAGATATTCATCAAATCTAGTAAAATTATGCTTTTTATATATGATGGAAATACGAGCTTCTGTTATCTGAAAAATTCACTTACATGGAATAGTTCATATTCTGACTACCACATAAAGAAGGCATTACTGTGTTAAAATTAGAGATCATTCTCAACAAAGCTACATTTGGCTTCAAGTTACTTATTAAACAATTATAAATAAATAAGTAAATAACATTTACATAATTCTTTGCTATTTATAAAACACTGCTTTATATATTCGCTTTTTTAATCCCCATGAAAGTCTAGAACACAGGGCCCTACCTTAGAACCTGTTCCAACCACCATCTGTCACCCCAGTCTGGAGGTTACACAGCAGATAACAACCAGCTTCACATCACTACCCTGGCCATGCTACATCTAAGCTGAATTTAATAAAAAGCTCATTCCCTTTTTATCACTTTCTTCTCCTCTGTTCAGTCTTTTTCTTCTTCTCCTACACCTTTCTCTTATTCTCTTATTCTCTTCCTGGCTAATTTTCCATTCACTTCTCTCTGAACCCTTCAATCATGTATTTAAACAAGTGTTTAATGAACACATTTCTTGTGTCAAACACTCTGCTAGACACTAGGGATACAACAATAAACAAGTTTGCCTTCAGGAAACTTACATTACAGCTAGACAAACATAAAAGTAGAAAAGACAAATTATGTAGAAGAATGAAACCGTATGGTGAAAGTATTTTCCCTTTCATAGCACTATACCATTTTTAAAACCTGAAGTGTGTGGATCAAGTGAAGAGAAAAACATTCCAGTAATTACAGTTTATGTATAGATGACAAAATAAATGGAAGCAGAGTTTGCAAATTTCAAAGTACTATTTACCATCAGGCCATCATTATACTAGTGGGCTTCAAAAAGTTCATGGAAAGATTATTATTATCTTTTAAATCCATTTTTCCACAAACTTTTTGAAATATACCCATTCATGTTTTGTATACAAATATAATAGCAACAATTCAAATGGCTTATTCTATACATTTTTAAATTAAATTTCATGGCATTATAATACAAACGAGTTAAATGTCATAAAATGACACTGCCCTGGAAAAAAATTCACAAAATAACATAATACTTAACATTTATTGAGTGTCAAGCAGTTTTAATCACTTTATAAAATAAACACTTAAATTTATATAATTCTTATAACAACACTATTATTATCTCTATTTACATATGAGGAACTGAGGCAGAGAGGTTAAGCACCTTGTCCAAGGTAAGAACACTAGTAAGTGGAAGAGCTGGTATTAGAACGAGGCAGCTTAAATCCTGAGACCATGCTCTTAACAACTAATATTCTCTGTTTTAGTAAATATATTTCACTAAGTTTATCTCATATATATACACATACATACACACACACATATATATATGCTTCAACAAGTGCATAAAGACATAAATACGAGGAGCCTTTAAAAAGTTCATGGAAGGGCCGGCCTGGTGGCGCACTCGGTAGAGTGCGGCGCTTGGGAGCACAGCGGCGCTCCCGCCGAGGGTTCGGATCCCATATAGAGACCAGTCCACTCACTGGTTGAGCGCGGTATGGGCGCAACACCGAGGGATGCGATCCCGTTGCCGGTAGCGGTACAGGCGTGACACCGAGGGTTGCGATCCCGTTACCGGTCACGAGAAAAGACAAAAAGGAAAAAAAAAAAAAAAAGTTCATGGAAAGATTCAATTCTACTTTTCCACAAACTTTTTGAAGTACCCTCCTACAAGTATGTTTATTGAAACACTGGTTATAATCACAATAACCAAAGGTAAAGGTACTGTAGTGCTACTGATGTTTAATCTTCAAGCACCTCACTTGCATAATCCCTTCCACAGTTCTGCATGTAACTTTATATTTGTAAATTTGTATAGTTTTTTTTAAAGATGCTTTCACCCCATCCCCCCAATTTTTT